TCCCTGATGGATTAAAGTACCCTGGTCCTGCTCCTACATTTAAGAACATAAGAACATAAGAGACGCCAATGTTGGATCAGGCCAAAGGCCCATCCAGTCCAACACTCTGTGTCACACAGTGGCCAGAAATACCAGTGCCATCAGGAGGTCCAGCAGTGGGGCCAGGACATTAGAAGCCCTCCCACTGTTGACCCCCCCCCCAAGCACCAAGAAGACAGAGCATCACTTGCCCCAGAGCCCCTAGCTATACCTTGTGGCTAATAGCCACTGATGGACCTCTGCTCCATATGCTTATCTAATTCCCTTTTGAAGCCGTCCATGCTTGTAGCACCCACCACTTCCTGTGGCAGTGAATTCCATGTGTTAATCACTCTTTGGGTGAAGAAGTACTTCCTTTTATCCGTTCTAACCCGACCGCTCTGCAGTTTCATGGAGTGCCCACGAGTTCTTGTATTGTGAGAAAGGGAGAAAAGTACCTCTTTCTTTACCTGCTCTTTCCCATGCATAATCTTATAAACCTCGATCATGTCACCCCTCAGTCGTCTTTTCTCCAAGCTAAAGAGCCCTAAGCGCTTTAACCTTTCCTCATAGGGAAAGTGTTCCAACCCTTTTATCATTCGAGTTGCCCTTTTCTGCACTTTTTCCAAAGCTATAATATCCTTTTTAAGGTGTGGTGCCCAGAACTGCACACAGTATTCCAAATGAGGTCTCACCATTGATTTATATAGGGGCATTATTATATTGGCTGATCTGTTTTCAATACCCTTCCTAATAATCCCCAGCATAGCATTGGCCTTCTTTATTGCAGTCACACACTGTCTCGACATTTTCAGTGAGTTATCCACTACAACTCCAAGATCTCTCTCTTGCTCAGTCTCTGCCAGTTCAGACCCCATCAATGTGTATTTATATTTAGGATTTTTAGCTCCAATGTGCATCACCTTGCACTTGGCCACATTGAACCCCATTTGCCATGTTGACGCCCACTCGCCCATCCTTGACAGATCCCCTTGGAGTGCCTCACAATCCTCACTGGTTTTCACCACCCCGAACAACTTTGTATCATCCGCAAATTTAGCCACTTCACTGCTTACTCCCATCTCCAAATCATTAATGAACAAGTTAAAAAGCAGTGGACCAAGTACTGATCCCTGCGGTACCCCACTGCTTACCACCCTCCACTGAGAAAATTGCCCACCTACACTCACTCTCTGTTTTCTATGAACTAGCCAGTTTTTGATCCATAAAAGGACTTGTCCTTCTATCCCATGATTTTTGAGCTTACTTAGGAGCCTTTGATGAGGAACTTTATCAAAAGCTTTCTGGAAGTCAAGGTAAATAATATCTATTGGATCCCCCTTGTCCACATGTTTGTTCACCCCCTCAAAGAACACTAACAGGTTAGTGAGACAAGATCTTCCCTTACAGAAACCGTGCTGAGTCTGCCTCAATAGGTTTTGCTTCTAATGGCTTCTTTTTGTGTGAATAATGCCTGGGGAAAGTTGCTTGGGATATTTTGTGCAATATGGTTTGGCTCTAATATTAAGAGTTTTTGACTAATGTTTCTGCTGTAATTGATGCTGGTTTCATTCTGCAGGTTCGAACTGACCATGAACTTCAAAGCGCTTATGTGAAACTCCTGATTAACAACACAAATACCTCGCATGCACTCAGTGTCACGGACCTTGTTCTAGTGGATAACATCACAGGTCTCCATGTCCAAGGAGCACAGGGTAGTCAGACCACAGATGGGTTTCAGACGTTCAGAATACAGATTTTGCATGGTACGTTCATTGGGGTTTTTTCATGGAATGTACGTCAAGATGGGTATAGCCGTGTTTGTCTGCAGAAAAGAGCCACAAGTCCAGTAGCACCTTAAAAAGGTAAAGGTTCCCTTGCTCGAAAGCCAGTCGAATCCGACTCTAGGGTTGCGGTGCTCATCTCCGTTTCAAAGCCGAAGAGCCAGCGCTGTCCGAAGACATTTCCGTGGTCATGTGGCCGGCATGACTAAACACCAAGGCGCACGGAACGCTGTTACCTTCCCACCGAAGCGGTACCTATTTATCTACTTGCAATTTCTTGCTTTCGAACTGCTAGGTTGGCAGGAGCTGGAACTAGAGATGGGAGCTCACTCCGTCATGCGGCACACTCGGGTCTTGAACTGCTGAACTACTGACCTTCCACAGCCTGCAGTTCAGCGTCTTAACCACTTGAGCCACCGCACCTTAAAGTATCACCTTAAAGTATCACCTTAAAGACTAACAAAATGTGTGGCAGGGTAGGAGGTTTTGTGTATCTGAAGAAGTGATCGATGACTCAAAAGCTTGCCACAAATTTTGTTAGTCTTTAAGGTGCTACTGGACTCTTGCTCTTTTCATGAAATGTAGTTTTTTAAGAAAACATTTAAATAAAATCTGGACATATGGCTTGACTCTGCAGATCTGGAATAGTGCATTTTCAGTTACTTGCAGCAAAGTCAAATAAATCCAAATGAAATTAAAGTAGCAACATAATTCTGAGAAAGTGGAAAATGGCCATTTCATTCCGCATAAAAACTTGGCCGGGGGGGGGGCTTCAAAGAAATGTCAAAGGGTGCGTTCAGATGCGCTGTTTGATCTGATGTCGTCACGCTTCAGCAACAGATTTTATCTGCATGATCACACAGTCAACATCTGCCTCCCGTCCCCAGCCCTTGGTTTCCAGCTCAAAACTGCTTTAACCAGGAGTATTTTGTTACCAGGTCCCAAAGGCCCCGTTCATACAAGGCAGTTTGGGCCGGGAGTGGGCCAGATCGGAAGCGCGGCAAACGGGAGCGATCCGAAGTCAACATCTGCCTGGCGTCGCGCTCCCGCCTCCGATCCAGCCCTTCCCCCGTTGATGCGTGGCAAAAATGAACCACCTACCTTAGGTGGTTCATCCGTTTGGGCCGCATCTTCCTGGCCATGGGATCGGCGGCGTGTTTTGCCGCCGCCGCATCCCCGGCCCCCGGTTGAACTGCGCATGCCCGAGCATGCGCAGTTCGGCAGCCTCCCCCTCCCACTCGCCTCTTTCTCCCCGGCATCTGATCGTGCCGGGGAGCAACGGCGCGCCGCTAACGGGTGGTGTTTTCTCAGGTCTCCCGTTTAAAGCGCATTTCCCCCCTGTGTGATCGCTCCTCCGGTGTCAAGCCATTTCCGGTTTAAACCCCCCCCCCCCAACCCCCCCCCGCCCTGGTGGTTCTGCGCATGCGCCATGGTAGTTTCACCCCCCCCATTCTATGAAGGGGTGCCTATGCGCATGCACAAACTGAGAAAAAATAAAGCCCGCCGACGCACACTCCCACGCGTCGGTAGTGTAGATGCCGGGGAGCAACGTGATTGCGCGGTGTGCTGGGATAAGGGAGATAAGTGTGATCGATATTATTCAGATCAAATATAATCCGGTTAGAACCGGAGCAGTTTAACCCGCTCTCAGCACGCCGTCTGACCGCACCCAAAGAGTAAAATAACTGCATGAAAATTATGTTCATAAAAAAAAATTACAGATTATCCCAAAAGAGTTGCTTTGTCTGCTGTAGTATTTGTGCAATTTAGAAGAAGATGAGTTGATTTTTATACCCTGCTTTTCTCTGCCATAAGGAGTCTCAAAGCGGCTTACGATCACCTTCCCTTCTCTCTCCACAACAGGCACCTTGTGAGGGGTAGGTGGGGCTGAGAGAGTTCGGAGAGAACTGGGACTGGCCCAGGGTCACCCAGCAGACTTCATGTGGAGGAGGAGTGGGGGAAATCAAACCTGGTTCTCCAGATTAGAGTCCGCTGCTCTTCACCACGACGCCACAATTTAGATTTTCTGTATGTGTGTGTGCTAGTAAGTTGTGCTGCTAGCAAATTTCAGTTTTAACTATATATAGTATTGGGGTTTTTTTCAGAGGGGGGGCATTTTGAGGCAACAGCTCTGGGTGTGTGGGGGAAGAATTTAAAAAGTTACCCAGCACGACAGCCCCAGTCTGGATTTCACTCCCCCCCCCCCGCCTGAGGCCAATTTTTACAGCGGAGCAACTCCTTTGAGGATCTGGCCTTGGATTCCCAGTGGCGCTTCTGTCCTTTGAAGGCTCCCGCCCCTTTAGGACCTCTGGCTGCCGGACTCTGCCCGGGCCAGACAAACATTTGTGAACAGCCCACCGGGCATGAGCCAGGGGCACTGGATGGCTTTGGTATTACTGGGTATCGGCACATTATTTCATCTCTTTTATATATCCAAGATAGATTCAGGTGGGTCGCCATGTTGGTCTGAAGCAATAGAACAAAGTCTGAGTCCAGGGGCACCTTTAAGACCAACAAAGTTTAAGTCTGGGTATCAGCTTTCGTGTGCACACCGCACAAAAGCTTATACCCAGAATTAAACTTTGTTGGTCTTAAAGGTGCCCCTGGACTCAGATTTTGTTCTATATCCAAGATGTAGTCCTAGAGGAATCAGATAGGGGGCAAAAGTATCCCAGCATTTTTCACACACCTTTCCTTCTCTTTACTTTCAGTTGGGGAACATTATTTACTGGACTACATTGCGATGGTTAATGCAAAGGAATCGGACAATGCCGGAGTGTTGATTCTGCCTGCTAGACTGACTTTCCGCTCGTTGCTGGTATTTCCCTTATCTTTTCAATATACTCATTGTTATGTACAGGTCTGTATCAGTGTGGGGTGTGTGTCATCACCTGGGGGTGATGACACACACCGCCTTATATGACATGCGAAAGTCTGGGCGATCTAAAAAAGCGACAAAAGGTAATATCAAAAACTTTTTACAAGCTTTAGCTTCGCCTACGCAGACGAAAGAGCCCGCTGGGAAGCTTCTACGCCAAATCAAAATGGCGGCCGAGCAAAGCGTGACGAAGAAAAAAGACCAAAGTGACGAACCGGTCACAGTTAAAACATTGCAGGCAGCCTTGAAATCTGCACTGCAAAAGGCTGAACAATCTATTTTAGAAAACCTTAACGTGCAACTAAACGAAATCCTACAACCGCTGGTGGAACAACTCGAAGAGATCGAGAAAACACTGGCAGAGACAAGAAACAATGCAGAAACAGCCTTAACGCTGGGACAGACACTACAAACGGAAAACCAACAACTACAAAAAGACAATGACAACATGAAAGAAAAAATTCTAATTCTAGAGGCATCGGCCAGAAGACAGAATTTAAAATTTAGGGGATTTCAAGAAGACAAAGATGAAACCCCAGATCTGATGAAATCTATGAGTATGTGGCTAGCAGGGATCTTACAATGCGAAGAAGGCGTCTACCCAATCCTAATAAAGGCACATAAAGGACCTTAAACAATCCAAACAGGAAGTTTCCAAGAGACATACTAGTTGCTTTTGCTGACTTAAGAGTCAAAACAACAGTTCAGAACATTGCAAGAGAAAAAGGCCACCTAAGATATAATGAGCAACAAATACTAGTCTTCCCAGACTTACCATCGGAAGCCTTGCAGATCCGCCAGAAACTGAAAACAGTTACTCAAAAACTAAGAGAGGAAAAGATATTTTATAGATGGAGCACTCCAGGAAAACTAACAGTGAAACACCAAAGCAAGCTTTTCCACACGTTTGATGAAGACAGTGGAACCTGACTCCTGCAAACGTTAAACCTTGCTCCAGCCTCAGAATCAGCAAATAAATCTGCAAAAAGGAGACTCTCTATGACCCTAACACCAATAAAAGCCAGCAAAGTACCAGTGAGAATCCCTACCAACAAAACTACAGTGTAAAATAAATGCTCAGACAATGGTATGTTAACTGCATATGGCTGCGGTCACACGGAGCATTAGGCATGCTAGAGGGACGGAAGATAGGCGGATTTTCCGGGCGCGATCTCACCGCCACATCTGGGAAGCGTCGAGCTCCCGTGGCGAACCCGAGGCTTCCCGCGGAAGATGCACAGTAAAAAACTAGTACCTCGGAGGTACTAGTTTCTTGAAACCGCGGGGCAAGGGTGGGCATCTGATCGCGTTTCCGGTGGTAGTTCCGGCGCCCGCCCATGTCCCCTCGCAAAAAGGGTTTTTTTCCCCCTCAAAGTCTCCACGGATGCGCACAAGCACCCAAGGGAGCATGCGTACATTTGAGTTTTAAAAAAACCCCAACCCCGTTTGCCCCGTGCCCCGCTTTTTTTCCACACCGCAGGACTGTGGAGTGATCAGCACCTCCTCCCTACCACGGGACCTCCACGGGACCTCCACTGCAGGTCTGCTCGCGCAACCGCGCGGTTTTTAGCCCCGGGGCAAACAGCCACGCTTCCCCCCCTCATTTTCCTGCCCATGTGCCCGCAGCCATGTCACAAGCTTTGGTTTAGAAAAAGCAAATTTAAGGAGCGTAATTATATAACTAAATATTATTGCAACAAATGTTTTCTTAAAACACTCAGAGGGTGGGGGGAAAGGGGAAGGAGATTGGGTAAAGAAATTTGCTCCAAGTATAGGAGAAGACCTAGGAGAGTTTAACGGGACAGTAAAAGGGCTAGAATAGGAAAGCCCAAAAGGTAGAAATAAGATTACAGTGAAGTCAAGAAGTTAGTTGATACAGTTTATAAAGGTTAGAAAGGTTAAAGAACGGTTATAGAGTTAGTGGAAGAAAAAGGGACTAATAGTTAAGAAAAAGCCAATAGCAAAACATTAGCGGTTGGTACAGGAGGATTGAGTTTATTCTGGAGACACTAATAATTTGAATTAAGAATGTACAAAGTAACGTCTTGGAACGTGAGGGGAATTAATAACAAAATTAAACGTAAGCGAATTACGACACAGATTTTAAAATCCAAACCAGAAATCGTCTTTTTACAAGAGACTCCCTTTAATAAAAAACCTGACCAGATATTAGCAACAACATGGTATGACAAACAATATACCTCACCAGGAACATCAGATGCTAGAGGCACTGCAATTTTAATAGCAAAGACAGTTCTTTTTAATTGCAAAGAATCTATGGTAGATCAATCAGGCAGGTTTTTGTTTATTAAGGGGGAATTGAATGGAACTTTGACTACACTGGGAACACTGTACGCACCAAATGTGAATCAAATGCAATTTGTTAAAAACACTCTAGAGAAACTGAATACATTTAGTGAAGGAAATGTGTTGTTGGGGGGTGACTTCAATTTTATAATGCACACTGTTTTAGATAGATCCAAAACAACAAAGGGAAATGGACATGAAACTGAATTGCAAAAACTGATGAGACGCTATGGCTTGTTTGATATTTGTAGGACCAAACACCCTCAGGAGAGGGATTATACATACTATTCCCCTAGATTCAATTCTTACACAAGAATAGATCACATATTACGATCAATACAATTTTTAACCAAAACCAAAGAAGCTGAAATAGACCTAAAAATTTGGTCAGATCACGCCCCAATTTCATGCACATTTGAATATCAACATAATGCCAAATCAACAAGGAAATCATCCTTAAACAAATCAATTTTGATAAACCCTGAAACACAACACCAAATAAAAGAACAAATAATTTTTTTTAGATCTTAACAAAGCTGAGGATATTTCACACCAAAATAATTGGGACGCACTGAAAACTACCTTGAGAGGGCATTTAATTTCAATGTCCTCACACCTAAAAAAAGTAAAAGAAGAAACCATTAATAAATTACAACAAAAGATTTTGAATTTGGAAAAACAACATAAAATAACTAGAAACAAAATAACTCTCAACCATCCAATGGCTGAAAGGAAGATTTTAGAAACAGTAATCTCCCTTATATATGAATGAAAGCCGAATGGTGGTGGCACTTCTCTAGAACATTCCATACGCTCCGGAATTGGTTGGCACCCTGGTGTGTCACTCAGAATCTGTCCCTATCCACTGGCTGTATTGCTTGAGTCTGGCCTCCAACATTCTAAACAGTTTGCTCTTCCCCTCCCCCCCCATAGCCAGTCAGCACACAGAGGTTATTTGCATATGCCATCTCATTGGCCTTTGCCTCGGAACACAGAGGTCGTTTGCATATGCGACTTGATTGGCTTTTGCCTCTAACATTCTAAACAGTTTGCTGTCCTGAGGTAAAATGTGTCCAATCTCCAGGTGAGGGCTGGAGATCACTCAGAATTACAACTGCTTTCCAGATGGCAGAGATCAGTTCCCCTGGAGAAAATGGTGGGCTCTGTATCCTTATATGCTGCTGAGGTGGCCCCCATATGACAGCCAATGTGACGTAGCAGTCAGGGCTTCAGAGCACGGGAGAGGCTGCAGGTGTGTGGGGGGTGGAAAGCTGAAGAGTGAGGGGGAAATAAAGGTAGGTTGATGATTGGCTAGGAAGGAGATAGGGTTGCCAACTCCAGGTGGGAAATTCCTGAAGATGTGAGGGATGGAGCCTGGAGAGGGTGAGGTTTCAAGAGGCGTGGGACCTCGGACAGGTACAAAGCCACAGACTCTGCCCTCCAACCAACCATTCCCTTCTGGGGAACCATTGTTGCCAATCTCCAGGTGAGGGCTGGAGATCACTCAAAATTACAATTGTTCTTTAGGTAGCAGAGATCAGTTCCTCTGGAGAAAATGGTGGACTCAGTGTCATTATACCCTGCTGAGGTCGCCATAGCAAATTGACACTGAGTGTCCAAGGCCAGGGCACCCGCCCAGAGCCTATTTCTAGAGGCCGTTGTATTTATTTCCACAACGGGCCTTTTTCCTAGTTACAAATAAAATCCAAAAAGATCTCATATATATTAAACAACAATATTGGAAAAAATCCCCCCAAACACTAAAATTTTTATCCTGGAGAGTTAAAGAAAAACAAGCTTCTAGATATATAGAAGCTTATATATCTAGACAAAACAGGAAAGATACAAAATGAGACATTAAAAATAACACAAATCTTAGCAACCTTTTATTCTGAACTATATAAAGCTAGAGAAATAAATGAGGCAAAATAGTAGAATACTTACACAATAAAAATGCTTTAAAAACAATTTCAGAGCAACATAAAACTTTGCTAGAAAGTCCAATAACAAAACAGGAAGTGATAGAATCGATTATTCAAACAAAAAAGAATTCAGCAGCTGGCCCAGATGGTTACCCATTTGAATTTTATAAAGTTTTCAAACTGGAATTAGTACACACATTAGTAGCACTATACAACAATATTGAAATGGGAAACCTCCCAAAAATATGGCAACAATCAGAAATAATTCTAATACCAAAACCATTGAAAGATCAAACCTTAGCAACATCATACCGCCCCATTACTCTTCTAAATACAGACTCAAAACGTTTTACAAAAATCATAGCAAATAGATTAAAACACATACTCCCAGATTACATAAGTAAAGATCAAACAGGCTTCCTGCCAAATAGAAACATTACAGAAAAAATAAGGAAAACCATAGACCTAATTCACTACTGTGAAGCTCAAAATGAAGCTTTAATCTTATCATTAGATGTGACGAAAGCTTTTGATACCATTAACCTAAAATATCTGGGAAACATAATTAAACGAATGGGGTTTGGTAATAACTTCCAAAGAACAATACAAGCATTATATACCAACTCAAGTGCTACTCTAAAAATAAATAACCAAACTTCCAATAAAATTCAACTACAGCGAGGTACAAGGCAGGGTTGTCCCCTGTCACCTTTGCTTTTTATTTTGGCTATGGAACCTCTGGCAGAGATCATACGTAAATCTGGAGACATAAAGGGCATAAGAATAGACAATCAAGAATATAAGCTTTCTTTATACGCAGATGACTTAATACTATATATAACAAACCCTATGCAATCTTTGAAAAGTTTACAGGAAGTCACTGAAGAATTTGGGCAGATTTCAGGCCTAACATTTAGCAAAGAAAAATCAGCATTACACCCCATACCTATAAGCCATTTACAACTGAAACGAATCACAGAAGAATTTCATTACCAATACTCAAATAAACCTTGGAGATACCTAGGAGTACATATTCCTCAAAGTCTAGAGCAACTATTTCAATGTAACTTTAAAAAATTGCAAGAAGAAATCAAAAACATACTAAAAAAATGGGATGCAAAAACATTAAATTGGACAGATAGATTACATCTGATAAAAAAATTCATTCTTCCTAAATATCTTTTCATGTTTAGAGCCCTCCCGATACCTATCCCAAAGACAATAATAAAAAGTTGGCAACAGATTTTAAACAAGTTCCTTTGGAACAACAAAAAACACAGAGTAAATTTCAAAACACTTTCCAGGACATCAACAAGAGGAGGTATAGACTTACCTAATTTATACATGTATTACGAATCCTCCAATATAGCAACACTAATTAAAGCAGCAACCAATACACAACCCCCCGATTGGGTAACAATAGAACTGAAATTGCACCACAAGTCGACTAGTTCTTTATATGACTTACTATGGGATCTGGAAAATCGATACTTAAATAACAATACCCAAACAAATGTATTAGAAACCTCATTAAAAATATGGTACAAGAGAAAAGAACTGTTAGCTCCCAAAATATCAAATCAAGCCTCTTATACGAACCAAAGTTGGTTTGCCTCAGGACAAAACACCAAAGAATTTGAAAGCTGGCAACAATCATGAATTACAAAGATAAAACACTTTTTGGAAAAAGATAAAATAATAGAAAAAACGAAATTAGAACATATTATACAACATAAGGTACTTTGGTATAAATACCAAATATAAATACCTACAAATTAAACACCTATTGGAATCACCCCAATTGAAACAAACTAGAACACGACACATGACATCTTTTGAAATTTTATTAAATGAAGGAAAGGAACAAGAACCAGGTTTAATTACAAAAATATATCACATGTGAAATAAGGCAGATGTAGAAAAATCAATGTTATATCAAGTAAAATGGTCCGAAGATCTCAAACTCTGAAGAAGACTGGGAACAAATTTGGAACTCCCCCAGTCAAATTTCTAAAATCTTCACTATTAAAATGCAGGCATTTAAAATACTTACCTGATGGAATATTTCACCAAAAATAAGACCTAGCATAAACAAGACATTTACATCCAACTGTACAAAACAATGTGGACAAACAGCAAATCTGATACACTGCTGGTGGTCTTGCGTTTTAATTCAAAAATTTTGGATCCACATACTTAACAAAATAGAAGAAATGGTTTCAATAAAAATTCCTTTAAACCCAGCTGTAGTATTACTAGGATATTGGAATGACATTCAAATGACATCAAGACAACAAGAATCAGTTTCTATACTTTTGACGATAGCAAAAAATTTGATAGCAACCAAATGGATAGAAAAACAAGTCCCCTCTGTTCAACAGTGGCTAATAAAAATCTGGGATTATTTTATTTTAAGCAAATTGTCATTTAACACTGGTAACAATTCACCTATGCAATACCAGAAAAAAATTGTACCTATTTGGTACCCTATTGTAAGTTACCTAATGGAAATTGAAATACTTCCAAAGAATCCTATGTATTACAATATGATTTTCTTTTGATGTTTAATGTAAGCATTGCTCTTTCTCTTTATTGTATTCTTTGTAAAATTTTGAAAAATAGTTAATAAATACCCTGGTCCAGGTTCCTATTTCATCACAGAGCTTGCTGGATATTTGTAAGTTCTCCACTTAAGAAGCCTTCATCTTGAATATCTTCTGAGTAGAAGGAACCCTTACTTGTGGCTGTGGAACTGTTGTACTGGCATGATCACCTGGTTTGATCTGTTTGCCCCATCCAGATGTGGTAGAAACAAGGAAGATGATATTTCAGAAGAAAAAATTATACACTACTGGTTCCTCAGTGAAACAGGCTTCCTCGGGGGGGGGGTGAGCTCTCCTTTGGAGATTTTTAAGCAGAGGCTAGGTGGCCATCTGACAGCAGTGATGATTTTAGGAATCCCTATGAATTTTAGGCAGATTGTGAGAGGGAGGGCAGGAAGGGTGAGCCAGTGCTTGGCTCCTGGCCCCTTCTTTTATGCCCAGGGCAACGCTGGTCACCATTTTGGGGTCAGGAAGGAATTTTCCTCCAGGCCAGATTGGCCCAGGGATCCTGGAGGTTGGGTTCTCCCCCCCCCTTCCTCTGAGCACAGAGCAGGGGTCATTGGGGGGTGGAATCGTTGTGAATTTCCTGTGTCATGCAGGGGGCCTGGACTAAACGACCCTTGAGATCCCTTCCAGCTCTATTTCCCCGTGTTTCAAGGTGTTTGTCACATTGCTTGTGGAGGAAGGAGGGATAAAAACGCTTGAAATGTAAGTCCCCTATACGCCAACTTCTAGTCTGCGCATAAATGAACCATCGCATGGTGACCTGAGGATTTAAGCCTCGTGAGACCAACAGGTCCTTGGTCCCTTGCATTTCATGCCTCTTGTGTTGACTACTAAGCCTGACAGTCATGCAGGGATATGATGACCTTAAGATAAACAGAGAAGCCTCATTTTCACGGCACCCAGTAGCTGTGGTCTGAGGCAACTCTCTCATGGGGGGGGGGCCCTCTGCAGCCTTCAAAAGCCATTTTGCTTTGGGTCACTTTCCCAGCATTGCCTTATTGGCTGGTGGTGGTATCTCCTAGGTGCTTGTTAGAAAGTATATGCTTCGCGTGGTTAAAGGTAAAGGTTTCCCTTGCTCGAAAGCTAGTCAGATCCGATGCTAGGGGGCGGTGCTCATCTCTGTTTCCAAGCTGAAGAGCCAGCACCGTCCGAAGACATTTCTGTGGTCATGTGGCCGGCATGACTAAATACCGAGGCGCACGGAACGCTGTTACCTTCTCACCGGAGCATTACCTATTTATCCACTTGCAATTTCTTGCTTTCAAACTGCTAGGTTGGCAGGAGCTGGGGCCAGGGATAGGAGCTCACTCCGTCACATGGCACTAGGGTATCGAACTGCCGAGCTACAGACCTTCTGGTCTGCAGTTTCAGTGTCTTAACTTCTGAGCCACCACACTGTTACAATCTGGTATTCTTCCATTTAGCTATTGAATTCTGCCTTTGTCTAATATTTGCATCATTTTTTGTTTGTCACTTTGTTTCTGTGTTTGTCACTCTGTTAACAACTACTGGCTATGGCCAGGAACCTCCCACAACCCCCCCCCAATTTTTTTTTTTGTTATTAGCTGTGACCACCATTTTAATATTCATGCAGATGTTTTACATTTTAATGTTATTTTATTAACTTATTTTGTGTAAATGATATGTTGTTACCCTCCCTGAGCCCGTTTCTGGGAAGGGAGGGCTATAAATGTGAATAAATAAATAAATAAATAAATAAATAAATAATAGGGTGATCTGGGTGTCAAGCAGGGGTCATTTCGTAGAAAAAGAGGTGCAGGATCTCATTAGAATAACTTATTAGCATAACTTATTTGCATATGCCACACCCCCTGGCATCACCGGAAGTGTGTCAGAAGGCAACACCCACCACTGGACTGGTAATCTGGGGGGGACGTGCAGATCTGCGCTCACAGAGGAGGGAGAGCTTGTACCTGAAGGCAGGTGGGGGGGCCCCCTGCAACTTACTGGGCTGCTTCTTGCTCCTCGTGGCCCGACTGAGGGCTGCTGGGAGCAGGGGGTGGGGCTTGTTACATGTGCCCATCCCGTGGGCTCCTTACTGCCGGAGCTCCGCTCCTGTGCGCTCCTGCAGGAAATGATCCCTGGTGTCAGATTAGATTATGCCAACTGAAAACATCTTATAAATGGATCTGGTTTTTTCATCTTTTTTTCAGAATGATTCTCAGTTTGATCCACTGACAGCATCGTTGACAATAACAGGAGAAAAAAAGACAAAGGTAAATAACTCCGCTTTCTCCTGCAAGCCCTTTTCTTTCTTAGGTTAGGTCACTGCTTAGGTTCTTTCCTAGGTTAGGTTTTCTTTCTTCGGTTAGGTGTAGAAATTGAGCTGTTCCCAGTCTCAGGTCTCACTGTTGCCATTCTTGAGGTGGCCGTTAATTCACTGTTTCTCCCTCTCTCAGCCTCAAGTGTCCTGTGGGTATAATCATATTGTCCTGATTTGCAGGGCAGCTGTAAGGCTCACAAGAAGATCAAGGGGGAGGGGGAGCGTTTTGAACCCTCTGACACACCACGTAAGTGTGGAGTATTTTGGTGTTCTGCGAATTGAGGGCTGGCCTGAAAGGGGTTGGGAGTGCCTAGACCATAAAAGAAATAAATTTAAATAAATAATAGACACCCCCCCTTTCCTTCACTTATTTTTATCCTCACCAATGAAACTATTGCTTTGTCTTCCAAGTGTGTACTGCTGGCAGGTTTATTTGAGGTCCCAAGGAAAGTATCGCTAAAGCAGTTGGCAAATGATTGGACGTAGAGACTGACATGCTGGAGGTGCATAGTGAATCAGTTTTGTGAACTGCTCTTCCAGTGTGATAGGAACAAAGTGGGACTTTTGAGAAAATAAAATCTAGAAAATGAAAACTGCTAACCCTTAAAAATAAGTTTTTCTGGACAGCCTCTGGTTGGTTGGCTAAATGGTCATCCCAGACCGCAGCTTGCTCTCTTCCTGTTTCCAAGGAGAATCTCTGGGTGGGGTCGGTAGCCCAGTCCCCCCCCCAGTATTGCTCAGCTGCTGCCAAAGCACCCCCCCCCCGTGCTTCCTATTGGTGAGCTACAGAAACTGGTGAGCTTAGGCCAGGCCATGCTTCTGGGCCAAGGGTCATCAACACAGGCTAGCCATTTGTGTGGCATATTGAGGGCCTGATAACATCAGCAAAACAAGAGCATCTCTGTGCCAATTTACAAACACTTGCCTGCTTGGTTCCCATGGGGGAAATTTTTCCTTATCACAGGCCCTGGTCACACGAGTGAGGTAATCCGGGGGGGGGGGGAAGCGATGCTTTTTGCTCCAGGGCAAAATGAAGCATAGTATCGCGATCAGACGTTCCCCCGAGGCTCCGTGCACAGGCTGTCAGCCGCCAATCACATGTTGATGGTGAAGCGTGGCAACGAAGGGCGAGGCGGTTCAACAGTAATGCGTTTGTGCGCATGGGCAGTTCCGCGTTTGCACGCATACCACGGAGGCATAAAAAAATCCAGTGGGACGCAGATGGGTGCCAGATGCGACAGGATACCAGCGCTTCTGTCCGCACTGTGCGTTTTCCAGAAAATAGTGCACTTTCCCCAGTATCTTTTTACTCCGCATCTTTGGCGGGGCGATACAGGTTCCTGACGGGTGCGGGACACTTGCCAGATTTTTTGTGTGTGATCGCACCCTTAAGACCCACCCGGCATTCGTCCCTATCGCGCAGCTAATTCTGCGTGTGACCGGGACCACAGACAACCAGCTTACAAGGCCTGTGTTAAATGCCTTATCAAACTTTTCTGCTTCTATTCCTGTCAGTCTTTCTAGAACTGGGTTGGTTTTTGGCAAAATTGCCCTCTGGTCCTGACAGTTCCCAGCTGTGGTTTGTGCCTAGACTCCTGGCAATGAGGATCGAAGCAAAGAAGTCTTAGATAATGGGGTCACCTTGTGGATGCGTGCTAAGCCATCTGAATTGCTTATAACACTTGCTTTTTTTATATATACCCAGTGCTTGCTTTGGTTTGTTTTTATCACCATCTGGGAGAGTTCCAGTTTTAAAACTGCTTCTGGGCATACCAAAACAGCTGGAAGATATTCTGCCCCAGTTTGTATTCATTGACTTACTCATCTGCTGCCTTTTATTCTGCTCCTGCTCCTGCTCCAAGGCACACAGGGCAGCCAATAGGTTTACTACATTCTGTTCTGCTGGAACCCCCCACACAAGTCCCATCGTTTCCTCTGGGGTGAATGTCAGTGAATCAACTTGAACGGAATTGCTTTTGTTTCTGTTAATCTCCCTGTGTTGATGCAGGTGCCACAGAAATGCATGTAGTTTTTCCTTTCTTTTCAGATATTGTTGAGTCACGGCACCCATGCTTTGGGATTCTTTGCTGCTTTTACCATTTCTTTTGGGCTGGCAAGTGTGATGTTGTGGATGGCCTACAGAACCCGGCAAGTTCTCAGGGAGCACCAGGTGGAGCAATTTATTTACTTACTATATTTATCTCCCCCCCCCACTAACATACCCAGGTGCCTTACAAAATTAAAATGTATAAAATACAAGGTTAAAAACAAACAATAAACCAGAAAACATTCAGCAGCAACCTGAAATTCTAAAACTTCACCCCCGTATGAAATCGATAGATGGAAGCGATGCACATGAAGCTGCCTTCTACCGAATCAGACCCCTTGGTCCATCTTCGCCCACCTCCATTTATACTCATTCTCTGTTTCTTGTTAATTAACCAGTTTTTAATTCACAAGAGGAATTCTCCTCTTATCCCACGACTGCTGAGTTTACTAAAAAGGTTAATGAGACAATATCTTCCCTTACAGAATCCATGCTGATTCTTCCTCAATAGCTTTTGTTCATCAATGTGCCTACTAATTCTATCTTTGATCATGGATTCCACCAACTTACCCAGTTATTGACATTAGACTGACCAGCCTGTAATTTCACAGCTCTCCTCTGGAACCCTTTTTAAAGATGGGAGTGACATTAGCTACCTTCCAGTCCTCAGGAATGGAGGCAGATTTTAATGAAAGATTACATATTTTTGTCAGGAGATCCACAAGTTCACATTTGAGTTCTTTCAGAACTCTCGGATGTATGCCATCTGGACCTGGTGCTTTATCAGTTTTTACTTTGTCCATCAGTCATAGGACCTCCTCTCTTGTCACCTCAGTCTGACTCAGGTCTTTTGACACCCCTCCTGAAATTGGTGGTTCTGGAGTGGGCAAGCACCTCCCATTTCCACAATGAAGACAGAGGCAAAAAAAAAATGCATTCAGCTTCTCTGCCATTTCCCTATCATCCTTTAGTAATCCTTTCACCCCTTGGTCATCCAAGGGCCCCACTGCCTCCCTGACTGGTTTTCTGCTTCTAACTATTTGAAGAAATTTTTATTGTTGGTCTTTATGTGTTTTGCAATACATTCCTCATAATCCCTTTTTGCCTGTCTGATCACAACATACATTTCAGTTGCCAAAACCTGTGCTCCCCCCCCCTTTTTTAGCTCACTCAGACTAGCTTTCCACTGCTTAAAGGTATCCTTCTTACCTTTTATTATTTTCATTACCTCGTTTGTTAACCATGCAGGCCTTTTTTAATATCTACTAGTCCCTTTCCTAACCTACAGTATACATTTTATCTGAGGGAGGTGCAAATGAAGTATGTTTTGACAGTTCCCAGATGGCGCTGAATTGAAAAAGTGTGAAACCTAGGATCATATTTGTGTTGGGCACACAGTGGTTTTGCAATGGAAGACCTTCTCACTGGGGCCGTTTGTAGGGATGTTAATGTTAGTACTTGTATGCCACTTTCCTCCCCAGCATAGGCTGGCGCATAATTGAGGCACAAAGGCTGGAGTATTTTCATTTCTGAAAATAAAAGTGGAATAATGAGATGACTTTAATCTCAATGGATTGTTTTTTTCTGGGGAAAATTGTATTCAAACATTTATCGCTCAAGACAGCTGTTGATCCGATGAGTTGGATCCATCCAGCTTTTCCACTGGTGAAAAAAGGGAGGCGAGGAGCCCTCTGTTCATCCCAAATGGTTCGGCTGTGGATCTTGGCTCCTGCACGGACAAGATCCCTGTGGGGGGCTGCAGGAAGGAAGAGAACTGGAGGAAGCTGAGTGAAAAGCAGACTGGATCCAGCCCAACACATGGTGCTTCCTCATCTTCATGGATCAACAAGATTTCCAGTGTATGAGCTTTGGAGAACCAAAGCTCCCTTCGTCAGATCTACTCTCTGACCAAGGGAGCTTTGACTCTTGAGCACGTGTATACCTCGGAGGACCCTGTTGGTCTTTAAGGTGCTGCTGGACTTAGATCTTGATCTTCTGCAGACCAGCACAGCGAATCCCCTGAAACTCACCTTCATCGTAGACTCTTCCGAAGAGTCTAGTGATACTTGAAAATATGTACTGAGAATTTGAGGACATTTCATCGAATCATCGAAAAATAGAATTGGAAGAGGCCACAGAGGCCATCTAATGCAGTGCTCAGTGCAGGACCAGCCTAAAGCATCCTAGTCAAGTGTTTGTCCAGCTGCTGCTGCTGCCTGAAGACCACCACTGAGGGGGAGCTCACCGCCTCCCTAAGCAGCTGATTCCACCGCTGGGCTACTCTTACTAAAAAAGACTCCCCCCTCCCCCAATATCTAGCCATCTAAACCCATTATTGCGAGTCTTATCCTCAGCTTTACTGGTGTGTGTAAAAAGAGACATTTTAAGGACGTTTTTAGATGTGTGTAGAAGCACAGCAGTGCAAACTCATTGGCTAGTTCAGACATGATGCAAACCCATGGTTTCTTTTAACCATGGTTAGATTGTGAAACCAGGGTTCTGCTCACAGATGACTGCTGAAATCCAGGATTGCTTCAAGAAATGTCAGTTTCTTTGCATTGTTGAGGGAAGAAGCCTGGATGAAATCAGGATTACTGCTGAATATTGATATAATTAATTTACGCACAAGCAGCGTCAAAACAGATTACTCAGTCATTTTCAAGAAATAACAATAGTAACCAAAAAGTGTTCAAAGAGTGTTCATTCCAAAGTGTACAGGAACAATGAAATTGCTGAAGAGTGTCCAGATCGTTGTATTTTGAGATGCTCTAGTATATTAGTAGTGTAATCTGTAAATTTTGCAGTTCAAGAACAGAAACAAGTTTTCCTATTTCCCAAACCACATGGCATTCTAAACATTTGCTTTGTGTATGAATTTAGGAGGCAGAACAAAACCCTTCTCCAGAGTATAAGCAGGAACATTCCCACTTTAATTCGTGTGGAACCAACCATGAGGACATCTTGTTGAATCACCACATTATTGACATCTTGTTTTTTGAAGAAACGGAGAACATGCTTCAGTCTCTGCAAGAGTAAGCGTTTTTCTACCATTGTATCATCTTTTGTGGCAAGCAACAGGAAATCAGGAATGGGAAAGAGCAGCTATTTAACAAGGCAGGTAGCTCACAGTCTCCCCAAAGGCCACGGATGGTCTGTGCTATTATTATGCAATTCAGACACAGTTTACATTAGTTTTCAATGGGGCAATTGGATTTCAGACTCCTTGATCCCTGTTTTCCAGAAAGATTCTGAGTTTCATTGCCTTAGTCTAACTTGCATTATTGTAAGCGTGTAATGCTGCGATTCTGTGACCACTGCTAGAGAATGCGGCCTGTTGACTCAAGGGAAGTAGTATCCAATGCATAATATATGGCTGCAGGAGTTTGTTTTGTAACCTCTTGTGAAATGGTGATTCACTAATTTTAAAGTTTGCAGAGGAGTTAACTTGGAGCACTCTGAAGCTCTCTGAAGGTTTCCTGCACATGCCTGATGGAAATAAATGGAGGACATGCAAGACCACATACCCTGCTCTTACATAGCTCTTATTCGGGTGCCAGATATCTTTTTCATGGATTGTGCCCACAGTGTTCCCTGCATAAGACAAAGAGGTCACTTTCAGCTGCAAAGAAAGAATTGAAGTTGACATACAGTGATTTGGGTAGATGAGACTCTCAGTCAATGGTGTCTGCTTAGTTTTGGATGTATTGATTTGGAAAGCTGTCCTTTCCGTGCCTGGCGTTTATCTTCCAAAAGTTGCTTTCATCAAGGTAAAGAAAGATAGCCTATTATGCTCTTATAGAGCAGAGCTTACCTTTAGGACAGCATGACCTTGTTCATGTAGATGGAAAGGGGCAGCTGTCAGTAGAAATCTTTGGGTGCTGAGATATAGTCATGATCTTGGTGTCTTTTTCAAATACCTGGAGGAAGGAGAGACAGCTAGGGATGCGCACAAATCAGGAAAATGCGGTTCAGTTCATGGCATGCCCCGTTTGCAAACCACAGACCATCACAAACTTTTAGCTTCCTCATGAATCGGTTTGGTTTGTGAGGTTCGTGAGGCAGTAGAATCCCCCCCCAGCAATCTAGAGACACCAAACTCACCGGGGATCTCCGGCTGACTCTCCTCTACCTGCCCTCCAAGTTTGGTGAGGATTAGATTTATAGGATCCGAGTTACAGCCCCTCATAGAAGGTGCCCCAAGGAAAGTGCTTTCTGGGGAAATGACTGCCTGTCATTTCTGCAGAAAGCAGTTTACTGGGCTCACCTTCTTTGGCGTCCCTTAACTAAGACCCCTTGAATCCAACTCTCACCAAACTTGGAGGGCAGGTAGAGGAGAGTCAGCCGGAGATCCCCGGTGAGTTTGATGTCTCCAGCTTGCACAGGATCTGATCTATACTCTTCTGAACCACCTGAGCCTGTCAAAATGGCCGCCTGTCATTGACAGGCAGTCATTTTGACAGGCACAGGTTCAGGAGTGTATAAAATGGAGTCACAGGGGACCACCCCCAGATTCTCCTCTACAAGGCCTCCAAGTTGTTGCTTTAAAGTTTTGTAAACATTTTAATTGAGCAGAGACAGTCTGGAAATGTATTCGTTCATGAACCAACATGAACCTCCACAAACCAATTGCCCTACCATGAATTTGACTTTGTGAAGTGTGAACTGGCCAGAATTCATTTCTCATGAACTTTAGTTTGTGAGTTGGTTTTTCCCCATCCCTGATGACAGCTTGCAGTTTTTGAAAGTTCTTCCTCCTTCATTTGTTTTGTGTGAGGGAAGTTGGCATAGTGTGAAGGATGCCCCAGCCTTGGCTGTCAAGCGCCACCTCCTTTGTGGGGGGAGATGCCAAGGCCTTTGAGGTAGGACAGGTGCAAGGGGTACAGCTGCATCCGGACAGGCTTTCTAGGGCATAGTCTGAAAGTGTAGACGTGGCACAGTGGGAACATGTGTGCGATGAGTCCTTTGCTGTGGTATGATACTTGATTTTTAAGAATATAACAGCTCTAGGGGCAGGCTTGAAAGCAAATAAAACCTCCACAGTGTATCTGTTCCTGTTGATCTCAGTGGACATTAACTGGAGTAACGTTCCATAAGATTGTGCTGTGATTGTGCTTATTCCCTCCCCCTTCCCCAGTCTGCTACATCTGCACAGATCTGGTGTCTCTTTGGAAGCATTCTCCTTCTCGTACACACACACACGCACACACACACAGACACACCGCCCCGTAACACCCATGTGAATGATGCCATTTGAGCAACATCATCTTCTGACAGCCACTCCCAATGAAAGCACATTGCTCTTAGCATTTTTCCATTCTTCTGAACCTAGATTCATTTTTTCCTGATTGGTTTTTGCATTTTTCTAGTTTTCCCCCTCTGCCAATTCAGACCCCCTCTAAAGCGCTAGCAAACAGGCAGGCTTTACAAGCACTGCTTCAGGGAGCCCATTCCACAGAGCTGGAGCCACAGGGGAAAAGGGCCTAGGCTCTGGTCAATGGCAGACGGGCCACCCTAAGTGGTGTGAGAGCAAACAGATGGCTGCCTGATTACCATAGCTGGTGCACAGGGACATCTATGGAAGAAGACCGTCCTTCAGATATGTGGGTCCCAGGTCATGAAGGGCTTTAAAGGTCACAACCAGCACCGGGAATTCAACTCAGAAACAGACTGGCAACCAGTGTAGCTGTTTCAAAATGGGCAACATCTGTTCCCAACGGCAATAGTTGGGGTGCTTCATCCTGGACCAGTTGTAGTTTCCAGGTTGTCTTCAAGGGGAGCCCCACACAGAGTTCATTGCAGTAATCCAAACAGTCATTCTAAACATCCTAATTCCATTTCACAGCTATGAAATTGCAAACCTGACCCACGCGGACAGAGATTTGGAAGACTGTCGAATGCAGATTTCCGAAGAAGCGATCGCTCTGTTAGTGAAGAACATGGCTGCAACTTGTGGGCTCTCTCCTCATGTGGAGAAAAGGATGACTTTGGCCTTCAGGAAGCAGTTCCGCACCGTGGAGATAGAGATTCAAGAAGAGTACAATAGGAAGATGGTGGCTTTGACGGCTGAGTGTAGCCTGGAGAACAGGAAGGCAGCCGAGTCTCAGCACCACAGAGAGCGAGCGGGGAGCAGGGAAGTGGAGGAATTATTGAAGAAGGCCAATGAAAAGGTAACTCGGGTGCAGAAGCATCAAGAGGTAGTCGGAACTGTCTTCCGCCACCTTTGAGAGGGGCTGGATGGTGGCAGTTTCCTGCTTTGGAATACAGCTTTGTCCAACTCGCAGTGCAGTATGGATTAAGAATCAAGGCTCATTCCCCAAGAAGTTCTTCTTGAACCCGGAACGCAAAACGATTTTGGCAGTATCAGTGGCCAGCTTTCAGGCAGGTTGCTTTTCAGAAACACTCAGTGAGGGGAAGATTTCCATTAAATGTGGTAGGTAGCTTCCCCAAGCCCAGGAGTCGCACAGCAACCTTGCTTCTAAGGCCCGGTGGCATGTCCTAAACTACGTGACAGCTGCTCAGGAACCGCCTGCCTTTAACAATCAGCCCCTAAGGGCCTTGGCATCCAAGAGGCACATGGATGCCTGAGCCGAGATAGATATCCAGGACGAGTACAAAACAATTGCCCTTTGGGTTGGAGAAGCCATTTCCTTGCTGTGTGGGAGTTACTACTGCTCTGAAGGGACAGTGTTGGCTCTTTTGAGTAAGGTAGCTTCCCCAAGCTTGGACAGTCAGCCCAGGAGTCGCACAGCAACCGTGCTTCTAAGTCCCGGTGGCATGTCCTACACTACGGGACAGCTGCTCAGGAACCGCCTGCCTTTAACAATCAGCCCCTAAGGGCCTTGGCATCCAAGAGGCACATGGATGCCTGAGCCGAGATAGATATCCAGGACGAGTACAAAACAATTGCCCTTTGGGTTGGAGAAGCCATTGAAAAGGCAGTGCTAGGATGCAGCCAGTATTACCAGCTGGTGAAAACTCACGGTATAGGGTTAGCCTTCCTCCCAAAGGGTCCTCTGGAAAAGCTCATAAATACAGTCGACTCCAAACAGAGCCGGCAAGTTTGCCAATCCCTGTATTTTAGCAGGATAGTCAGCTGGCAGTTTCCTGTTATGTTTTTTATTTCAGAGACAGGGAGAGATGAAGGAAGGGCTGTGGCTCAGTGGGAGCGCATCTGGTTGGCATGCAAAAGGTCCAGGGTCCAATCCCCAGTATCTCCAGTCAAAGGATTTGGCAGGGGGTGATGGGGAAGACCTCTCTCTGCCTCAGACCCTGGAGAAAGAGTCTTGAGTGGACAAGGCTGCCTTTGATGGGCCAAGGGTCTGATTCAGGATCAGGCAGCTTCAGGTGTTCATGGGAGCTCAGAGCTGTGATTAAAAGCTAAAGTCGCCGGTTTGGTGCTTAAATGCCAAGTCCACCAATACTTCAGCTGCAGTGCAAACACTTATTGATTTATTTGATTGATGCTCCGCCCTCCTTGCCGAAGCAGGCTCAGGGCAGCTTACATAAAAACGAAGACAGATAAAAGCAGAGCAATTATAAAACCTATCATAAAGTGCTTGTGTGCAGTATTATGTGACGATGGCGGAATGTTAGTAACAAATCAATCATAATGAGAATGCAGTCCGTACTGGTGTTAGGACTGTCATCTCAGTCCGATTCATGCTGGCGAAGTACAGGTTGTCGATGGTGGTATCAGGGCACAGAAGGGACTTCCCTGGTCTTTGGCTGTTTTGTTAAATAGGGATTTGCTGTCCATTGTCCCTCTTCATTTCTGGTTGGTCGACCTCCTTCAATTTTAATGCATGTTCAAGATCTCCAGTTGGATTTGCTCACGGGCAGCACAAGAGGCTGTGCATTATGGCCGAATCACAATTTCTGTGTTCAGGTGTACTCCTAAGGTATTTTGAGGATAGAATACAAACTGTAGATGTAGTGTTCCCTCTAAGCTGAGTTAATGTGAGCTAAGCGCGCAGTTTTCTAGCCTCCGGCTCACACATTTTTGTCTTAGCTCAGGAAGGATGGCTCTGAAGCAAACTAATTGATGCAGCGGCCAAATGGCTCGCTCACAACTTTAATGCCAGTAGCTCACAAAGTAGAATTTTTGCTCTCAAGACTCCACAGCTTAGAGGGAGCCTTGGTTGTGCTGTATACATTCAACAAATGTTCGCTGCCACGTAGTTTGTGAAGTGGACCTTAAATTGCACCATGTTTTAGGCCCAGTCGGATGTCCCTTTGACGGAGAGAAAGTCAGTTCTGTGACTGTATCGGCGTTTGAGGCAGGCTGTCTCATGGGACTCCTGGGCTGGGACAGGGCCTCTGAGTGTTGAAGAGGCTGGCCGTAACCTGCTGCTTGCTTCCTCAGTCCGCTGCAGAATGCAGAGCCCTCCTGGGGAAACTTCACCACCTGGAGCAGCTCCATCACAAGAGGCTTCTTCTGGCGAAGCAAGAAGAATACTTTGCTGCGACGTACAGAGAACTGGCTTGTTCCAAAAGAAACGAGATCCACAGCATCTTTTTCACTCAGATAAGAAATATGATTTGTAAAGGAGAACTGAAGTTAGAAGCAGCCAAATCTCTTGTCGAGAATTACTCTAAAATACAGGTATTGGAATCCACAACAATGACCCTCACGAGACAGCAAAACAAATAAATACTGTGTCTAGGTATATTGGTGGTACATCCACCGCTTCAGTCAAGCGAGCGTGAGGCCTGTGTGAGTGGCTGGACCCTTAGGCCATGGGTCAGGCAGCCCCATCTTCCAAGAGATGTCCACCAAGTCTTTCCTCAGGACCCCCCTGGCCTGACTGGCAGAGGAGCAGAAGGAGGGGGGACTGCTGGGACCCCGGCCTCCCTCCTCCTCCCTCAGCTGACCATGAGCCTTTTGCCTGAGTTGCCAGTCCCCTACTTCCACTGGCACGTAGCTTCAAGAGCGACCCATTTGGAGAATCCCAGCTCAGTTAAAAGTCTGGCGTGGCTCTTCTGCAGCTGTGCGTACAGCAGAGCCAACGTTTGTAGCCAGCCAGTCAGCCGGGGTGGAGAAGACATTACCTAACGGGTAAAGCTTGCAGCATCCTGACGCCATGCGCTTTCCATTTCTCCCTTGGGTAGGAAACCTAGTAAGATCATTTAGGTGGGGCAGTCATGTCCTTCTGAAGGAGCAGAACAAAGTTTGAGTCCAGCAGCACCTCTAAGGCCACCAGAGTTTTAAGACCGACAAAGTGCATGCAACACAAAAGCTTATGCCAGGAATAAAACTTTGTTGGTCTTAAAGGTGCCCCTGGATCCTTCCCGCCTTGAGCTGTGGGCTGCAAAGTCCTTACGTGCTACCACAGCCCCCCGAATGTTGATGAAGATTGGCGGGGTGGTGGTGGAGCGGTCCATGAAGCAAATTCCATTCATGCTGCTCACTGATCAGCGCATTGGGCTGCCTCCACATGAATGGGGTTGGTGTCCTTCACTTCCAGTGGCTGCATATCTCAAGGGAGACTGGCAGAAAGTGGGGGCCATCTGGCTTTCGGGGAAGCTGGCTTCTCATCACTGGTATTCTCGCCGAGGAATCCTTGTTGAGCTTCTGAGGACCTACAGGGCTTCCCAGCACCTAGTCTGAAGACCACAGATCTAATGTAAAACAGGAGTCCAGGGGCATCTGAACGAAAGACTAGCCACAGCCTGTTCCAGCGTCTGGGTGTGTGGGTCTCACAGCATCAGAGGCGGGTGAGCTCTGACTCAGGGAAGCTCCTGCTGGAGTTTGTGGCCTTAGTCTTTCAGATGCTCCTGGAATCCTGCTGTGATTGGCTGACACAGACTAACACAGGTACCTCTCTGGAATGATCTAGTCAGTGGAATGCGTGATGAGCCTAATCCTGGCCACAGCCGATCCTGGGCTGTCTCACGGGTGCACTTTGCCGTGGGAAACATGTCTGCAGATGAAGGAAGGAAAGCAACTCTGAGGGTGTTTGCATTCAAAACTGGCAAAGGGAATTAAAATGGGTAAAAAGTAACGAATTAGCAGCATATATATTCTCTCATTGGTTACAGCTTTGGAAATGAAGCCAAACAGTTCAGAACTCACATGAGTAAATTGATTGTTTAGTTTCGTAAAGGCTATCTGGTCTTATTAATGCAAAAATTTTAACTCCTACTCTTTCCAAGGCATTTCCAGTTCATGATCATAAAAAGTTAATCGGATGTGTTTATATTTTTCTCTGCAGGGAGACATTGAAGAGTGGACGGATCTTTTGCAAGCTCATAAGAACTATCTTCTGAGTAAAAGATTTGCTCACAGGGAATCCCTCATTCAGATGATTCAGTTACTGGATTCCCAGATGACTTCCCTGTGGGAACTTGCAGCAAATCGGATAGCCATGTTCATTAGTAAAGTGGAAAGGTAAATATTGGTTGAGTGTGTTGCGGTATTTGGAGAGGCACAGGGGTGGTTTTGCTAAGAAAAAAAATTAATGATCAGCAAGATGTTTTAAAGCAAGGTTTGATTCCAGTGTCACCTTTCAGACCAACAACATTTAATTCTGGGCACAAGCTTTCATGTGTATGCAGAGTGCACACAAAAGCTGATACCCATAATTAAACTTTGTTGGTCTTGAAGACGCCACTGACTCAAACTTGGCCGGTCTTGAAGACGCCACTGGACTCAAACTTTGTTCTGCTGCTTTAGACCAACATGGCAACCCATCTGAAAATGTTTTAAGTTTTGCTATGGAAAAATGCTGGGTTCTTGTGAAGAAGCAAAAAGAAGCCTAGCTGTGCTGCACTCTGGGCTGCCCGGACTCCTGCGTTGTGCAGTGAGAATCTGCCTCACGCCAGCCAGGCCAGAGGAAGTCCAAATCAGGGCTCATTTGTGTCCTCTTCTTCCCTCCTGAGCAGACTAGTCTGGGCAGTTCAGATCCGTGTCTGAAGGTCATTTCCTTTCTCTGGTGTCTCTTGAGGTTCCAGGTCCAGGCCAATGCTCCCTCTAAGCTGCGGAGTCTTATGAGCAAAACTTCTACTTTGTGAGCTACTGGCATTAAAGCTGTGAGTGAGCGATTTGGCTACCGTATAAAACAGTTTGCTCTGGAGCCCCATCCTTCCTGAGCTGAGACAAAAATCTGTGAGCCGGAGGGCAGCGCAAAGCAAAACTCAGGCACTGGCACATTGCTAGGGAGGAGTGGCAAGTCAGTATCCTTTGGCCCTTGAGCACAGAAAAGAAAAAAGATAAGAAGGACCCAGATTCAAGGATCTGAGAACGTAGCAATGACCCTTGAGTGCGTAGCAACAATCACCTGCCATCACCAGCCATGCTGACATGTGCCCCATGTCAGCCATGTATGCAAGTAGCCAGCCAACACCATCCCACACAGAGATCCCAACAAGGGAAGAGAAGAGGGAAAACAGCACCCTCTGCTGGTTGGAGGACTGTGGCCATGACACTTCCCGGAGCTCTGCAAGTAGGGCTTCAGATCCTTCTCTGGCAAATCCCCTCGTTTTGGACACATGGGGTGGGACACATCCACGCCCACTTAATCACCCAGACACTCCCACAGCTGATGTGTCATAAGAAACCTCTCAAGGAAAGCCCATGGCGCAGGATCAGCACCCAGGGCCAGGGCAGAGGGGTCTGGAGCGTTTCGCAGCACATTCCCACTCCCGGAATGCATCCCTCATCTCCCATCCCAAGCGCTCATTGGGGAAGGAGAGGTTTTAAATCCCACTGTACGGAAACCTGTAAATAAGTCTGAACTCATCTTTCGGGCAGTGGCAAGAGAGCCCGCGGGTCCCACACTGTGAACTATCCCACCACTGTGGTAAATGAGTTCATTGTCACGGCCTGCCACTGTTCATCCTAGAAATGTGTATTCTCTCTTCCTGCTTCCCATAGCCTGAATTACTTAGAACACACCAGCAGTGCTCCAGAGGATTTTGAACCCCTTTCCCAGCATGAGAGCCAGCGTGGTGTGGCGGTTAAGAGCGGCAGACTCTAATCTGGAGAGCTGGCTTTGGTTCCCCTCTTCTCCTTCGTGAGAAGCCTGTCCCAATTCTCTCAGCACTCTCTCAGCCTCACCTGTCTCGCAAGGTGTCTGTTGTGGGGAGAGGAAGGGAAATAATAACAAGAACAATAATCGTACGGCATTGTGTGTAGAACAGCCAGGAGATCCTAAGATTGTCTGGCAGGCAAGAGTTCTCGCTCTTTAGCGTTATGCACCACTATGTGGCGAGCTAGAGTTGTTTATTTATTTATTTATTTATTTAACATTCGACTTATACCCCGCGCGAACCCCTCCCACGGGGTCTCTGAGCGGCTTACATAGTAGATCATCCCTATCTATGGGCACATATATTGTTAAGGGCGGGACTGCCTACGAGCACGCAGTGGGATTCGGCTTGATGTTTTGTCAGCTCGTCTCGGCTCTCGGCTTCGGCTCGGCCTCTCCCCTCCGCTTTCTTCAGGCTCCTCAGGTGGTCTTTTTTGGAGTCAGCGGGCCCATCCGACGCGTAGATCGCATTGGCATGGCTCTGGCTCCGTCCCTCAGGCTCCGCCCCGCCTGCGCCGCTGTGTCTTCGCGCTTCCCGCCTCCGCCACTGGTCCACCACTCGATGTTCCACTTCCGCTCGCTACCTCGACTGCCGCCGCCATTTCATGTTGCTCTGCTGCCGCCGCTCGCCAAATCGCCGCTGCTGGGGTTCCCACTTTACCTCCCAATGGAGGGGGGTGCTCCCTGCCTTCTAAGGCAGGTACCCATTCATCTACTCGCTAGTTGTTACGGCTTTTGAACCGCTGGGTGGTCGGGAGCTAGGACTAGGGCCGGGTGCTCACTCTGGCCGCGGTGGGTCTCAAACAGCCTTACAGGCTGTTCACAAGATGTTAAGTCAGGTGTTTTTCAGAGGTGGTTTTGCCTGCCTCTGCGTCACAACCCTGGTATTCCCTGGAGGCCGCCCTTCCAAATACTAGCCACGCCCAACCCTGCTTATCTTCTGAAATCTGATGGGATCGGGCTGGCCTGGGCTAGAGGAAGGGGAGGAGATAGTAAGCCGCTTTGAAATTCTAGCCCCAGCTGTGAAACAATGCAGACAGGGCTAGCATTCTGAGCCCAGGTCATGCGGAAGGGGCCGCCTGCCGCCTGGGTGTAGCAACACTCCTGTTCCTTTGAAAGCTGCATGGACAGACCGCAGAATCATAACCAAAGCTGCATGCCCATGACAGCAGCAACACTGGTGGTCAAACCGGTGTGTGTTAGGCAGGCTGCAGGATGGTGCTGGAGCCAGGCTGGCAGAAGACAGTTGGCAGCACAGCCGCTGGAGGTCCTCTGGTCACCTACAGGCTCAGTACAAGGTTGGCATTGCACTGTGAATGGGGTCTGTGTTGCCTCAGGCAACACAGACCCCATTCACAGTGCAATGCCAACCTTGTACTGAGCCTGTAGGTGACCAGAGGGCCTCCAGCTGTCTGGAAAGAATCAAAAGTCTGGAAAGAATCAAAAGTGGCACAAAGGAAGTCACGGGTCATGGGGCCCTTTCACACACGCTGAACAGTGCACTTCCAGCTGACTTCCAACGCTCCTTCATGATCGTTTGCAAATAGATGTTGCCATTTCACACAGTAAACTCCAGTTGCAAAGTGCATCGGAAAGGGGCACCACCTGTGTCACGTTCTCCCAAGCACCTGGTGACTCAAATGGCAATGTGTATCCTTGCTTGTCCCCCGGAAAGGCATAACTAGAACTGGGCACAAGCACTGTTAGGAATGACTACATCATAGAAAGCTGAGAGAGATATAGGGTATTCGAAAGCACACACACACACACACACCTATGGGCCAATCGGCCTGACTCCCGTGGGCGGGAAAGAGGACCAAGGCAGTTAGAGGCAAGGCTGGGAAACGAAACCAATCTCATGGGTAATTGATGGGAAGACACTACACAGGCTGGCTACAAGGTCAGTGATAACGAGGGGGAGAAGCGAAGAGAAAGGAATGCGGCAGCAACTGGCACACAGGTCATGAAAGCGAACCTGGGCCCATAAAATATATGGCAGCATGGCTGACATTCTGCCCACCCAAAGAACAATCTCCCGGCCTACCCGGGAGACCTCCTGGTCAGCCTGGGATATCTCCCGGTTTCTCCGGGAACTCCCGGTGAAACTCTTGCAAGAGCCTAGGGGCCCGAATATCCCCTACTTCCACCCACTCACGGTGCTGGGGCCCAAAACCCAACCATTCCACCAAATAAAACAGTTTGCCACGTTTTACTTTAGAGTCCAGGATCTTTGAGATCTCAAAATGTTCTTCACCCTCCACCATGATAGGAGGGGGTACAGGTTTTGTTGGCAGCCAGGGGCTTGGGCCTGGATCACGCTTCAGGAGGCTGAAATGAAACACAGAATAGATATTGCACATGTTTTTAGGTAGGTCCAGCTCCACAGCCACCTCATTGATCAGGCGTTTGACTTTAAACGGGCCAATGAATTTCCATCCCAGTTTGCGGCTGGGTCTCAATACCTTAAATGCTTTTTGTCGACACATACACCGAGTCCCCAGGCTGCAGAGCCTATCCCTCCACCCTTTTCCTGTCAGCCTGAGCCTTGTAAGCCTCTTTGGCCGTTTCTAAAGTTTTGCACAATAACGGCCAAGAGTCCTGAAGTTGTTGACACCACTGCGCAGCATCCCCCGGGCCCAAGGTAACTCCCTTGAGAAAGGGCAATGGGGGACTGTCATATCCATAGAGCGCCTTGAATGAGGACATCCCCGTAGATGAGTGACACGTGTTGTTATAACAAAATTCTGCCAGGGGAAGTAAGTCTACCCAATCATCCTGCTGGTAGTTAGTGAAACAACGCAAATATTGTTCCGAAGTCTGATTCACTCGTTCGGTCTGTCCATCAGTTTCCGGATGATAAGCGCTACGCAGGGTCCATTCAATCCCCATAAGTTTAATAATTCACCCCAAAACCTGGAAACAAATTGCGTCCCCCTGTTGGAGTTAATCTTGCTCGGAAGCGTGTGGAGGCGCACCACGTGTTGCATAAAGGCTTTTGCCAGAGCCTTGGATGTGGGCAAGGACGCAAAGAACCCACTGCTAACTAAAAACCCAAGAGAGGAGATCGTAACTAGCTTAGTTACAACAAATCTTCATTTCGTTTAGATTATTATAAACTGAGTCAAACATTTATAATACTTTTCCTTTAACTCTTAATTTTAACTGTCTAGGAACAGTAAGCAAGTCTTCATGGGGTTTTTCACCCACCTTGCAGGGAATGTTGTTTGGCTGAAAATCATTTGGGAGGCGTCCTGAACACAGCTCAAGATGAACTGCACTCTGCTCAACAGATGTTTGCTGATATTGTAAAGGAAGAGAAGCAAAAACTTCACCAAGAACTGATTGCCAGAAGGCGACAAGAAATGCTGCAGAAGGTAATTGAGAATTGGGTGAGAAAATGCATACACAGACCAATAATTGTGAGAAGAATCCTCCCCGTAGGGCCGGCGTGTCCATAATGCAGGGTTAGGCTGTTGCCTAGAGTCCCACTGAAACAGGACGCTGTGCTGGCCTGCAGACCTGCTCCTGCTCCTCCCTCCCCAAAAAGACACTTTCGCTTTCCTTCCCCCAAGCCCTCATGATGCGGGGATCCCCCTTGCAATCCCGTGCTGGCGTTGGGGCCGATTTGCTGCCCGGGTCCCTCCGAGAGCACCTTGACACTGATGGCGTGGTGAGGCTCCGCCATCGAGGGGCTCCTGCTGCTGCTGGGGGGAGTCGTCATCACCCCTCTGCTGGGCAGGGGCAGGTTGGGTGAGTGAGCATGTTGGGGTGGGGCTGGGGGGCTCCACTTCTGCGATGGGCCCAAGGGGGGGAGAGGAGGGGGCCGGGGCCGCCTCGCCAGCCGAAGGCCTTTGTGTGTCCCAGGGCTGCTTGTGTGGCACTTCCCCCCTGTGAGGCTCTTTGTCTGTGACTGCAGCTCTCTCACTGCACACCAGCCAAGGCTCGCCTGGCCAACTGCCTCCCTGAGGAGCCTCCCAGCCAGCTGGACTGTGGGGCATCGATCTCAGTCACAACTGGGGAACCCCGAGGAAGGAGCGAGGGCAGTTCACCAAGCAGCTTCCTGAAGGGTGCGCCTGCCTCCAGCAAGGCCGGTCCCGAAGCCCACTTGGCTCGGAGTCTGGCACCGGACGCCTGCATAGCATTCCTCCCCCAGCCGCAGCCTGGCCGCTTTTGATCTACACTTAGGTATAAAATGAGAGAGATACAGAATGAGAGAGACTGGGCTTGACAGCAGCTCATGTGAAAGGGATCTAGGTTTTCAAGCTAAACATGAACCCGCAGTGCGATGTGACTGCGAAGAAAGCTAATGCAATCTTAGGATGCATTAACAGAAGCATTGTGTCCAGATCACGGGAGGTGGTAGTTCTGCTCTATTCTGCTATGGTCAGGCCTCACCTGGCGTACTGTGTCCAGTTTTGGGCACCACATTTTAGGAAGGATGTTGACAAGCTCGAGCGTGTCCAGAAGAGGGCAACCAGGATGGTGAGAGGGTTGGAATCCAAGTCTTATGAAGAAAGGCTGAAAGAGTTGGGTCTGTTCAGCCTGGGAAAGAGAAGGCTTAGAGGGGACATGACTGCAGTCTTCAAGTATTTGAAGGGCTGCCATGTAGAAGATGGAGCGGATCTATTCTCTCTTGCTCCAGATTGCAAGACTAGATCTAATGGGTGGAAATTACAAGGGAGTCGTTACCGGCTCAGTATCAGGAGTAACTTCCTAACAGAGTGGTTGAGCAGTGGAACAGACTGCCTCGGGAGGTGGTGGATGCTCCTTCGCTGGACGTTTTCAAGCGGAGGCTAGACAACCATCTTTTGGATATGTTGTAGGGCTGTCTCTCGGCTACGCTCCTGCAGAGTGTAGGGGGTTGGACTAGATGACCTGCAAGGTCCCTTCCAACTCTAACATTCTATGATTCTATGATCTTGCCCGGGAGCCTGGCCCCGGCCCAGCCAATGGCTTCTGCAGCTGCACCCGGGCAGAGCATTCCCCTGGCTGGGCTGAGGAGCGCTTGGTGGTGTTGACATAGGTGCGCCCAGGTACAAGCGCAGTTGCCTTGGCCAGAAAGAGCAGGGAGACCGGAGGGTGGGTCGGGGGACTTCCTGGAGGGGGGTGAAGGGGGAAAGACTTGTTGGATCCCCAAGCATCGAGAATAAATCCACGTTTTCAAGAAAAGCAAAATTTATTTCAAAGCGTTGAAGACATACTCAAACACGTTCTTTGTTAGAACTGGGGATACACAGTTAGGGCGAGCATAATAAAGGAAATTCAAACAGATACATATCCAATGAATAATATTCCCGCTGGCGGGCTAATGAAACGGTTGCGCGCCCAGTCCATGGGAACCAGGGAGAAGAGCAAGAAAAACACAGGTGCAGTTCTCATGAGATAGCAATATGCAAGCATTACAGCATCTTCTCCCACACACATCCACCAGTAGTTATCTTATGCATTCCAGCACAGAAGCAGGATAGTAGAAACAAGCCGGGTGCAACAGGGTAAGGATATGTACACAGAGGTCACAGAAAACAGAATGGCAGCTTGCTGACAAAGCCTCAGGTTCAGCACAGGAGCTCTACGCTTCCCAGATGTGGTGGTGTGATCGTGCCCAGAAAATCCGCCTATCTTCCGTCTCTGTAGCATGGCTAATGCTCCGTGTGACTTGTTGAAACTACGGATCAGGTAAGGGGCCCGAATATCCCCTTCTTCCACCCATTCGCGGTGCTGGGGACCGAAATCAACCCATTCGATAAGGTACCAGAGTTTACCACGTTTCAATTTGCAATCAAGGATATCAGCGACCTCAAAATGTTCATCCCCTTCCAAAATGACAGGTGGAGGAGGAGTAACCGATGGTCTCCAGGGAGACGGGCCAGGATCCTTCTTCAACAGGCTCATGTGAAAAACAGAATGCAGAGCACGTAAATTCTTAGGCAAAACAACATCAACCGCCACATTATTTATGACTTTACGCACTTTGAATGGACCAATGAACTTCCACCCCAATTTCCTGCTAGGTCGCAGCATCTTAATGTTCTTGGTCGAGACATACACAAGATCCCCAGGTTTCAGATCAAACCCCACCACCCTACCCTTGTCTGCCTGGGTCTTGTAAGCAGCCTTGGCTGCGTCAAGCGTTTGGCATAGCAGAGGCCATGCATTTTGCAAGGACATACACCATGTATCAGCATCCCCCACAGGACGTTGGCCCATCCCCTCCAGGAAAGGGAGGGGGGGGCTGTCGTAACCAGAAACAGCTTTATAAGGAGACATGCCCGTGGAGCTATGGACAGTGTTGTTATAACAATATTCAGCAAGAGGCAACAATTCACACCAATCATTTTGTTGATAATTAGTAAAACAACGAAGATATTGCTCCAGGGTCTGATTCACTCGTTCTGTTTGTCCGTCAGTCTCAGGATGATACGCGCTGCTGAGCCCTTGTTCCACCCCTAAAATGGAAAGAAGTTCCCTCCAAAACTTAGAAACAAATTGGGTCCCCCTGTCAGAAATTAATTTAGCAGGTAATTGATGAATTTTCACCACGTGAGACATAAACGATTTCGCCAACCTCTGAGCTGTAGGCAAGGAAGGAAAAGGCACAAAATGAGCCTGCTTAGAAAATAAATCAACAACCACCCAAATAACAGTGTTCCCTTTGCTCACAGGGAGATCAGTAATAAAGTCCATGGACACCACTTCCCAAGGCCTCGATGGAGTAGGGAGTGGTTGCAGAAGACCGGGAGGCTTGCCCCCCCTGGGTTTAGTTAAGGCACAGGTCTGACAGGATCGAACAAAAGTCAATAGGTCTTTGCGCATGTGTGGCCACCAAAACTGTCTGCGGATGAGTTGCAGTGATTTAACAAAACTCCAATGTCCTGCCAGTCTGGAACCATGAGCAGAATCCATCACTTCCCTCCTCATTGAAATAGGCACATACAGTTTGTCCCCAGAATAAATCAGACCTTCTGGGCTACGGACATAATCCGGCAATGCACGCAGGGAGGCAATATCTTCACCAGTAAAAGCAGAAACATTTTTCTGGACCCAGGCCCCCCCCCCCATAGGGAAAAGGGAAGGCGAAGTCTCATCAGAGCGAGGAATTGAGCGCGCTTGCGCGCGGGTGACAACAGCCCCCCCCAGGTGGGAGGGGGAAAAAACAGAATCCATGATGATTTCACGCTGACTGTCATGTTGTGGGAGGCGTGAGAGCGCGTCAGCCAGGGAATTAGCCGTCCCAGGGAAATGACGAAGAGTGAATCGAAACTTAGCAAAGAAGTCCGCCCAACGAAGTTGTTTTGCGTTTAGAGAACGGGGGGATTTCAGCATTTCCAGATTTTTATGGTCAGTCCAGACTTCAAATGGCAGTTGAGCCCCCTCCAACCACTGCCTCCAAGTGGAGAGAGCCAGCCGGATAGCCGACGCCTCCTTCTCCCAAATCCCCCAGTTTCGTTCAGCGTCCGAAAATTTTTTAGACACAAATGCAAGGGGGTGTAAACGACCATCTTCCCCTTCTTGCAAAATAGCGGCCCCCATTGCCACATCCGAAGCATCAGTCTGGACAATGAATTTTTTAGTTTCATCAGGGCGCGCCAGCACGGGCTCAGACGTGAACATACGTTTAAGTTTCTCAAAAGCCTCCGCGCAAGCAGGGGACCATTTAAGTGGGGCGCCTGGTTTGGTAGCATCAAACCCCTTTCCCTTGGTTTTCAACAAATCGGTTAGAGGAAGGGCAATTTGAGCGAAATTCTGGATGAAATTTCTGTAAAAATTGGCGAATCCGAGGAACATTTGCAATTGTTTGCGGGTTCTGGGGGGTTCCCATTCAAGCACGGCCTGTATTTTAGCAGGGTCCATTTCCACCTTCCCCCCGGAGATGCGATAACCCAAAAAGTCAATGCAGGGCTGGTGGAATTCACATTTAGACAGTTTGGCGAACAGGTTGTGTTCATAAAGCCTCTTAAGGACCTGGCGCACCAATTTAATATGCGACGGTAGGTCCTGGGAATACAGCAACACATCATCAAGGTAAAGAACCACCCCTTTGAACAAAAATTCATGTAGGACCTCATTGATTAAGTTCATGAAGACCCCCGGAGCCCCTTGAAGCCCGAAGGGCATAACGAGGTATTCAAACTGCCCCAAGGGGGTATTAAACGCAGTCTTACTTTCGTCCCCCTCCCTAATGCGCACTCGGAAATATGCATCCCTCAGGTCAAGTTTCGAGAAGATTTTGCCTTTGGTGGCCTCTGCCACCAGGTCCTTGATCAGGGGGAGGGGGTAGGCATTGGACAAAGAAACAGCGTTCAAACCCCTATAATCCGTGCACAACCTGAGCCCCCCGTCTTTCTTCTTTCGGAAGAGAACCGGCGCGGCGAAA